TGTCCAGGGCTGTCGGAGTCCCCACTCCCCTCTTCTCCTCCTGGAGGGCAGCACTGGGCTGCGCTGGGTGTTCAGAGCCCACAAGATGTTGATGTCACGTGTTTCATGGATCCGAGGCTCCATCTCCGCTCTGCTGTCTGGCACATGAAGGAAAGAGCGTCAAGCTCTGCTCCGTTGAAAAGGCCAAGCCGGTGCCTCTGCGCAGCCTGCGAGTGGGAGTCTGCAGTAGTCGGCGGCAAAGCCTGGGTGTGGGCGGCACCAAGCCCCCAGGGCTGAAGTCCCAAGCACCATAGTATGACATCTGCTTGTTCGCCCCTCGCACCTTCTCATGGTGCCTCAGGCTGAACCTCTTCACCCTGGCATGAGGAGGGTGCCCCGTGTGGGGTCTCCCTGTAGCAAGGATGCATTTTTGCTTGTGTGATGTTCTGCCTGATCTTGTCTGGGAAGTCTCCCTGCTGCAACAGCCCCCAGGGCTAATGGATCCCTAGGTCTGGGACAGAAGAAACCAGGAAGGTTCTGAAGGGCTGAACCTTTCCTACTCATCGCACGTGTGGTCCGAGCCCCCATGGTGCAGTGCAGTTCCCTGGCTGATTGGACATGCTCCTGTCTACGCCACTCCTGTTGGTTCCTCCATAGTCCGTTTGCCCCTGTGCTGTGGTGCAAGAGGTGCCTCATGTCCCCGTGTGCAGGGGCGGGGGGAGATTCCTGTGTTGGGGACATGGCTGTGGCCTGAGGCTCTGCTCTGTGCTGACTGTGTTCACCCTGGCAGGGGACTGCAGGGTCTCACCCCAAATCTCATGCTCACACTCACACTTGCACAGCCCCTCCCCTCTCGGGTTCCTATTTGAGGCCTGCTGTTTTGGGTAGAGCCTGCTCCCAATGGGCGAGTCCCCCCAGGACCTCTGCATGGCATGGCTGGGGGTTGGGGCACCAGCGTGAGGGGCAGGCCCTGACCCCAGTGCTGCAGGAGGGGCTCCGGGCTCCTCCATAGCCTGTAGTCCGGATGGCAGCTCTGCCCTGGCCAAGCCCTGTTGTGCACACGGTGCTGCTCAGACCCCAGCAGCCTGCCCAGGGCTATCTGCCACCTGGACCTGGGGCAGTGTGTGCCCTGTCTCCACAGTGGCAGCATTTGGCGTCCCTGTTGGGTGGACTTGTCTCCAGTGACACGCTCCCCCATGGGAAGGTGGGAGAAGGAAGCAGGGGGGTGCTTTCACCAGCTGTCTGTGCGCACAGAGCTGTGCAGGGCAGGGAGAGGGGCCTGCAGGCAGGTCTGCCATGCCCTGACTGCTGGGGGGCATGGCCGGCCTGCGCTGCACCACTGCTGGTGTGTGGACTGTGGCTGGGGGTTGGGGTGGGTGAGAAGGGGCAGAGGCAGTGGGGAAGGCCCTGCAGAGCAGCACCCTGAAGGCAGCTGGCTGCTAGAACAAGCTTGTCCCCAGATCTGCAGGATCAGACCTGTCCCTGCCCCCACCCCCTGCACCTTGCCCCAGAGACCTCAGGCCAGCAGGGCTGTTCCCTGTCATCAGCAAGAGCAGCAGTCGGGCTGCCCTCCAGGCTCCTGGGCCCCCGCCTGTGTGTCAGTCTCCCTGTGCCTGTCAACCAGCTCCTCTCCGCGGGGCCTGCGGCTCATGCAAGGCTGGCTCTGCTGCTGGGACCCCTTGGTGCCCCCACCCCATGCCCCTGCCAGTTTCCAGCATGGCAGGGTCGGAGGTGCTCAGGCCTTGCTGCCTGCCATGCCCCATTGGTAGGACCCTGTGGGGATCTTGGCCTGGTCTGTGTCTTGGCAGAGCCCATGGGGCAGGGACCAGGCTGGAGCAGCAGGGCCACATCCAGAGCAGCCTCATGTCTGGGGAGGAGGCAGGAGGGCACGGAAAAGCCCCTGTGAGAATCGGGGGGGCCGGCTGCCCCAGGGCAAGGACACAGGCATGCAGCTGGCTCCGGGGCAGGCGGCTTGTCCTGCTGCTCCCCCCTTAGAGGCACTCATGGCAGGGGCCCCTCCGGAGGGGCTCCAGGGGCAGCTCAGGGCTGGGAGCACTGGCTGCCCTGACTTCCTCCACCAGAGCCTTGCTGGGGCAGGAGCTGCCTTGGGCTGTGTGCGCCCAGCCTCCATCATGGGGCTTCTTCAGCCCTGGGTCCAGATGTTCCCACTCTCCTGGGCTGGCCCTCCCCAGGGGGTTTCCCATCCCCCAGCTGGGTCTGTGTGCAGGGTTGAGCAGAGCCCAGCCCCAGGGCCTGTGTGTGGTGGGCACTGCCCCCTCTGCACCCTGAGCCAGAACCCCCTCCCAAGACTGGCCAGGGGCTGGGTGCTATGTTCGGAGATAGCCAGGCCCTGAGAGACAGCCCCCCTCAATTGGGACCCTGAGCTTTCCTGTGTGAGCTCTCCCTGCCACACCAGCAGAGGCCAGGGCCCAGGGCAGGGTGTGGGTGGGAGGAGAGCTGGGAGGGGCACCAGGCTGCCTGCTATTCTTCCAGCCTAGTCTGGCAGGGGGAGCAGAGGCCTGTGTGAAGGTGCTAGCACCTAGGGGAGTTGGGCAAGGCTCTCTGTAGAGCTTGACGGGCTCATACCCCAGCCCTGCACATCCTGGAGAAGGAAGCATGAATTAGGAGCTGCAAAAGCCTCCAGTGCCTGCCTAGGCATGGGGACAGCAGGGACCGGTGGCTCCTGGGAGCAAGGACCCATGAACAGGGAGAGCAGAGATGCCTGCTGCCACAGTCTGTGACTGTGTATGAGGGCAAGCTCCAGTGCTGCCAGGAGTCAGCTTGGGGAGTAGTGCTGCATGGGGGTTAGCTCCACCCGGACCGGCCCAGAGCTCTTCTCTTCCTCGCTGTGACCTGCTGTGTTGGTGGAGGGGCAGGAGAGCCCAGAGCCAAACAACTGGGCCATTTCATGGGACCCAGCCTGAACCCCGCTCCCTTGTCCTGCTGGAGTCAGGGCAGCAAGAGGACACTGCTGCATGACCAGGGGCAGATCCTGATTCGAGGACCTGACAGTGTGGAGCCACAAGCCTCAGGGGGGGATCCCTGATGCTGTGTCAGTGTCCCTGAGAGGTCCCACCATGTACCCTTGCCTTGCCCAGGCAGCATCGACCTGGATGGTTGCTCTAAGGGACCCTCCATACTCTACTGCAGGACACGCCTTGGTTCGGGCCTGGATCAGAGGTCTTCCTGGGAGCACGTGTGCTCCCAGTGACATCTTGGTGCTCTCTGGTGCGTGGCAGGAGCCAGGGGCTGCAGGGGTGCCGGTGACTGTACTTGGCAGACAGGGACAAGGCTGCTATGACCTTCCCCTTTGCCACCCCCACCTCATCGCCCCTGTGTCCATCAGGGGGGTTGTTTGGGAACCGATGGATGAAGCCTGGCTGTTACAGGGAGTTGAAGCCCAACTGTGCTACATTCATCTTCCCAAGGAGCTTAAGACAGAAGGAAGGCGGCAAGACTTACAGACTGTGGACTGGGCCCCCAGCGGGTTGCCTGGCAGAAGGGGAAGTTCAGACTTTAAAAGGATGGTAATGTCCAGAGCAAAAAGCGGGGCCCCCGTCCTCCTAGAGCAAGGATGAGCTCATTAAAGGTTCCCCCGGAAAGGGGCAGAATCCAGGGGCAAACTTACCCAGTGCCGGCGTGGAGACATGGGCAGGCATTCAAGTAACTGAGCCCAGGGAAGTGGCAGAGAGAAAAATCCTGTTGTGTATGTCAGGTCACTGTGGTTGGAGACATCCAGCCAGCAAAAGACAGAAAAGGAGGTCCTCCAGGGCAGGCGGACTGCAAGTAAGGAGTGAAGCTCAGGGGGGAGGATGCCATCTCAACAGAGGACGTTCTGGGTCCAAAACTCGTGAGGAAAAGCCAAACGCAGGCAAGAGACTGGCTGAACAACTGAGCAGGGCTGCAGGGGAACTCAAATTGTGGCCACTGTCAGCTTGTAAAAGGGGGTTGTGAGCCCTGTAGGGGTAATATCCGAGCTTACAGCCTTATAATGGGGATCTCTATAGAGGCTACAGAGACCAGTGAGGATTGATTGCAGGCTGGCAGGGTGCTGCCTTTGCTTTTACATGATACAACATGGACAGGAAAGATAGGGGCCACTGATCCTGTGAAGTATAAGATGGGACAGTGAATTGAGACTGAGAGAGAGGAAGCCCCTAGGGATAGCAGGACAGGGCTCAGGAGGTAGCTGCAGGCATCTGGTATCGGTAGGGGAGATGTCCTGTTCCTGCAGGGTTGAAAGGTGCAACTCAGCCTTTCCATGGTCCTGCTACAGGTCTCTTCCCCTCCCCTGTACAAGATGGCCAGGGACATAGCAACTTCCCTGCCCTCACTGAGCCCCTCCATTTGTTCCCAGGGCCATGTGGGGAGAAGCATCCCTCTCTGACGATTCCCAGAGGATGCCCCATTCAGAGACAGCAACTCTGAACACCTCCAGCACAGACTGGATCCTGGTGCACCTGCAGTTCCTTTTGAAATGAGGATAGGAGCTGCCTGGACCTTGCACAGCCAGGAGGTCCCCTGTGCCAGGACTGAATTGCTGTCCTGACATCTCCAGAGCCAGGGGTTGGGCTGAAGGGGGCACAGCCCTGGGGAGCACCTCTGGGGCCAGAGTCCAGTTCCTGCTCTCCAGGCAGCTGCAGCATCTGGCTCCACTTCTGCCATCCCTGCTGCCCTGCCCTGTGCTGCTTCCCCAAGGAGAAGCACCACCCTGCTTTCCAGCCTGGACTTGTTCCAGCTGATTTCATGCTACCCCTGCCTCTGCTAGCCTTGCCCTTTCCCTTCCAGGGGCCTGGTCCCATGCTCCTGCCCAGCCCTGGGCTCCTGCATTTTCTGGGTGTGTTGTGGTCCCTTCAGCCTTGTTCTCCATGAATGGAGCCCGTGAGCTGTGAAGTGCTTCTCCTCCCCCTCCCCACCCCACAAGGTCAGCTTTGCCCCTGCCCAGCCTGGCAGCCCTTGGTGGCACCTACTCCCTGGGGCTGTAACCCTGACCCAGGGGCCTGGATCTGTGTTTGTTTCAGGGTTTCATACTTTCCAGCTCATGTACGGCTGTGAGCTTGGTGAAGACAACAGCATTCGAGGCTATGCGCAGTATGCGTATGACGGAGGAGACTTCATCAGCTATGACCTGAGCGGGCAAACCTGGGTGGCAGTCCCAACACAGGCCCAGATCACCCAGCGCAAGTGGAATGAGAATAGGGCCTTACTTCAGCAAGACAGAGCCTACCTGAAGGAGACCTGCATCGAGTGGCTGGGGAAGTACCTACAGTACGGGAAGGCAGCGCTGCAGACCAGTGAGTCCCAGTGTCTCCTCGCTAACGGCAGCACTAACCAGGCACCCTCTCCCCCTAGGGAAGGCCCACCCCCTCCCCCTGGGCTACACCTACCCAATTCCCCTGTGTCCGGGGTGGTGAGTGCTGTCTCAGTGCTGCCACAGGGTGAGACCCCAGCACTGCTGTAAGACACAGCGTGCCCTGTCATCACTCTGGTCAGGCCCCCCCAGCTGGGCAGAGCCCCTGGGGGGTCTGTGCCCCAGCAACGTGTCTCTGACCCAGAGATGACCTGTATCAGACCCCGTTCCTGCAGCCCCAAGCCCAGTGCAGCCGTATCTCCTATCCCCTGTGCTCCTGCCCCAATGCCATCTGCTCCTTCCTGAAATAGCCTATGGAGCCCGTTTTGTATGGCCCAGTGCAGAGGCCATCTGGCCTCCTGGCAGGGATCTTGGGCCCAAGGGTCCAGCAGGGGTGGTTGCTCTAATGGGTGTGTTGTTCCTCCCAGAGCCTCCCATGGCTCAGGTGAGTGACAGGTCATCCCGAGATGGACTTGCCACCCTGTCCTGCCGGGTCCACGGCTTCTACCCCAAGGACGTGGCTGTCGTCTGGCTGAAGAACGGGGAGCCACAGACCCAGGAGACAAGCCGCTCAGGGGTTGTTCCCAGTGGAGATGGGACTTACCAGACCTGGGCCACTATCGAGATCAACCCGAGCAGCAACCACGATTATACCTGCTGTGTGGAGCACGTGAGCCTGGATGCAGACCTGAGAGTGGCCTGGGACAAGAGTGAGTGACCCCCTCCTGGAAGAGACCCTGGGTGCTAGTGGAGGGACGGGCTGACTGACCCTGGTAAGGGGCAGGATGGGGGGTGGGCGTTGGAGGAGACGTGAGACATCAGTGGGAAGGGGACACTTCGGGCCTGTAGTGGTGGGGCTGGTCTGAGGTTTCCCCTTGCTCACAGGCCTCTTCCATCTTTCGGAGCCTGAGTCCAACCTGTTGCTGATCGTGGGCATCGTTATTGCTGTTGTGCTGGTCTTGGTCGTGGCAGGCGCAGCTGTTTTCTTCCGCAGTAAGTGCTGGGGAAAGCCCTAGGGGCCAGGCTGTGCCTGGGCCTTGGGGAATGCGGGGCTAGTGAGGGGGGCTCATCACTGCCATGTCTGGGACCTGGTGGAGGACAGTGGATTTTCCAGCTGCTCTGGGCTCCCAGGTCCATGTGCCCCCGGGGCGGCAGCAGCCAGACCCCAGCACCAGTGCTGTGAGGCTGTCTTGCTGAGGACCCCCAAGGGCTGTTTTAGGGCTCCATGCGAACTTGTGCCCCACAGCCCCATCCCCCTCCCCCGGTGGGGGTGTCCTGGGCCCCATATTCCAGTCTGAGCTCTTGGCTTTGTGCTGGAAAGACAGCTCCTTGCTAGGCTGTGGCCCCAGGTCAGATCTGTCTCTGGTTGCGGAGCACCCGCAGTCGCTGACTTCTGCCTTTTCTCTGCAGGGAGACAGGGAGCAGGATACAAAGCAGCATCCAGTAAGTGCAAAGCCCCATCCTCTCTTTCTCCTTGTCATCAGCTCTGCAGGGCAGCCCCATGGGCACATAGCCTGTCCCAGCCCTGTTCTGACTGTGCAGGAGGTGTGGGGGGCAGAGCCCTCCTGTCTTGGGGGCGGGGGGCACAAGGGCACCTGCCACTGTGGCATCTGGACTTTCCTCCCAGCAGGGGCTGGTACGGTTCCCCTGGCCCCAGGCCCCACTCCCTGTGCTTGGGGAGCTCTAACCCACTCTTCCTTCCCCCTCAGCTCGTGACGGCTCCAACAGCTCCGGTGAGTGTCAGCGTGCGGGACCAACCCGGGGAGGGGCTGCTGGGGCAGAGAATGGAGAACTAGCCTGTGCTTTGCCCCAAGGGAGGTCACTGTGGGGGCAGGACAGCTCTGTTGTGGGCTTTCTGGGGAGTGGGGCAGGGGGACAGAGGGGCGGCGGGGAGGGACTGTCCTGCTGGTGCTATCTCTCCCCCCCACCCCCGTGCCTGGGTGATAGAACTGGCCTGGCTGGGAGCTCTTAGCCTGTGGGTCCCTGGCCGGGCAGGGCCTACCTCACCCCCTGGCCTGTCTGCTGTGGGCTGGGGCAGTGCTGTTTTCTGAGCTGGGGTCAGGTCTCGCCCTCCCTGTGCAGCTGACAGCTGTGGTTGCATGTGGGACTACAGGGCTCCTGGCAGTGCCACCCACCTCTGTGCAAGCCCTGGGAGAGGGGCTAGGGCAAGGGTCACCCCAGGGGTACAGTTACCAGCCCTGTGTCCTGGCCAGTCTCTGCCTGTCGGGACCTAGTCACTGTCGCTGCAGGGCAGAAGTGCAAAGGGCTTCCTGGCTGCACTGGGAGCAGCTTGCACCCACCTCATTCTCCTGTGCCCAGGGTACAGGGTGCACTGCGGGGCTGGGGGATCTTGTAGGGCTGGAAGGCTCCCACCTGGCTAACACCTGTGCTTCCTCCCTGTACAGGAAGCAACCATGGCTCTGACCCCTGTGTCAAAGGTCAGTGTGGGGGGGCTCTGACTTGAGGAATTCCCAAAGGAGATGCTGTCCCTGTCCAACCAGCCCTGGGAGCCCTGGGTCACCCCAAGCCAGGCGGCCATGGGGCTGAGTGCCTGGAAAGCTGCGTGGCTGTGTGTGCCGCTCTACTCCTGGGAGGAGAGGGTCAGAGTGGGAGTGTCTGTCACCATCCCAGGCAGCCTGGGCTCTGCGGGTCTGTGGAAATGGCTGCAGCCCGGGCACTGCCAGGAGCAGAGCTAGCACAGTGCGGGGGACCCATAAGTGAGGGGGGAAGGGTGTTGGGGAGAGGCATCTCCTCCCCTCAGTGCAGGAAGTTACCCCAGGCTGGAGCTGAGCCCCAGGTCAGTGCCTGCCCGGTGCTGCAGTCCCTTGACCTGCTATGTCTTCCTTGTCTCTTTCCTGTAGCTTAGCAGAGCTCAGTGGAGCCTACACTGCCTCCTGAGGGGCCCACAGAGGAGGAGAGAGACAGATCACAGAGCAACGTGCTGCACTGATTCAGTCCTGCCAGATGCCTTTTTATGCCTTGATTTTTTTTTTCTTTTTTTTTGCCCCTTGCGGCAGGAGAGCAAAGAGCTGGTGTGTGAAATTAAAGCTGCTGGGCTGCAGCCAGGCTGGGGAGGGGGTGGGGTTTGGGAATTGCTTGTGACTGATCAGCTTATTGCAGGTTTAAGCCATAGTTTGCTATTTATAAAAATAACAGATAGGAATCATCTCCAAGGGCATCTCCCTGCTAGTAGAGAGATGGGCAGGGCATGCACCGAATCAGGCAGTGTGTGGGTCATGCCCTAGAGCAGCGGTGCTCAATCATTTGGCTAGCTGAAGATGTTTGTCCATCTTCAGCAGCACTCCTTCCTGCCCCCCAGGTGCCAGGGTTGAGTGCTGGGGGCCTGTGCACCTGTGCCCCTGCACACTGTGGTGGGGATACTGCTGCAAACGTCCAGATTGTGGGAAACACCAGTGGCTGGCTGACATGGCACCGTGAGCCGCAAGTTGCTCACCCCTGCACTAGATCAGTGGTTCTCAATCCTTTTTTACTACGACCCATTTGTAAAGATCAATGGCCAGTCCCAACCCCGTGCTCCTCACTCCTGACCTGCTGGCCCCAGGTCCCAGCCCCCAGCATGTGGGGTGGGGGAGCGGATGTGGGACAGGGGGGCCCCAAGCAACCTCTTTCTGGCAGAAGCTCTGCCAACCTGCAAAGGAAAAGCCACAGTTTCCCACATTTTTTCCCTTTTAAGGGAGAATCCATGTTTTAAGTTTGCTAATCCATCCTTAAAATTTGTGACCCTTTCATACATTCTTGCGACCCACTTTTGTATCACAACCCATGGGTTGAGAAACGCTGCCCTAGAGCATCCCTGTCCCGAATTGATTGTTCATTAAACTTTATATCATATTTTTGCGGTGCTGTTCAACATGTGCTGTTGCTTTCTCCTGCTCTGCTTTGCCCTGCACACGGCTCCTGCCCCCTGCATCCTGGGGGTGAATCCATGACAAGGCTGTGTCCGCAGGACACACAAAAGCCTTTTATAAGAGCAACTTGTAATCTAAACTGGTACCCAGGTGCCTGAACACCCCCATGCCAGGAGAGCGGTTTTCCCTGGGTGCAACTAGAAAACTGCCTTGGTGGTCACGGTGTTTCCCCTGCTGCACTAACCCATCCACAAGGATAACTTAGTGTAGCGGAGGTAATGTATAGTTAAACCATCCACTTTCAATTCCAGGGGGAAGGTCTTGGCTTTATGCCCACTTTATGGAAATAAGAGACTCCTCCCTAGCTTGCTTCTGGGGCCTTATGGCTAAAGGCAAGCAAAACTCGGGGGCATCTGAAACCCAAGCCTCCAGGCTTGGGCCTGCAAGTAGGATACCTGCCAAAGGGTTTGGAAACATCTGAAGCCCCTGGTGGGGGTGGAGGATGTTTGCTGGTAGTAGGGCCACTTATGGTTCTTGACTAGCTCATGGATTGAATTGATTTGGCTTGGAACACGGAAAATTTAAATTAAATTAAAAAAAAAAAAAAAGTGCCTGCTGACCGCCCCCAGTGCAGGGGGGAGGAGTGCCGGAGGCTAGATTCTCTGATCTTTTTCACTGGATGTTGCTTCTGCCAATTAAATCCTTTTTCCCCCTTTTCTTTCCTTTTTGGGATGGGGAGAGTTTAAGATTGTAAGGGCTTCTTTAGAGAATAAGAATAAATGTGTACAGATCATTGGGGCTAATCCATGTGTGTGCTGTTGGACTTCTCTTTTTCTAGCCCATTCAGAGGCTTCTCTGGGGTTGGGGAGAGGCACACAGCAGGGCTGGGGGAATAGGAGGTCCTGGGGTGACAGAGCCCCCATGATCTCTGCTGTCTCCAGGCAGGACCCTGTCCCACTGCAGCCCAGCTGTGTCCTGTACCTGGACAGACAACATCACGCAGGGTCCCGGAGGGCCAAGAAGGCACCTGCAGTGGGGTTTGTGGGAGGACAGGACCCCTCCTGCTGCTGCA